TTAATTTAATTTAATTTAATTTAATTTAATTTTATTTTATTTTATGCCATAATCAACAGCATCTGTGACCTAGAGTCTAAATTTTATTAGTATTTAATTAGTCTTTTGGGTTTTTTAATATAATTTTTTAATATAAAAATGTATTAATTTTCATTTCAGTTTCAATTATTTAAGCACATCAAATAAATGAGATTAAATAAATGAGATAAAAGTGAGAAATGAAGCCTTGGCAACTAGATGAAATAAGTGTTTTATATATATATATATATATATATTTTTTTTTTTATTTAATTAACATTTATTTTATTTCAAGTAACACAAATGTTTTTTAATGGTTTTAGTTAATGATTATAATCATGACCATAACTGTTAGTGTTCAAACACCGAAGTGCATTATTATTAACACAAACTGCCAACAGTGTGCTGAATTCCTAATATAGCATTGGCTGAATGGGAAAACTGGTTTTGATACGTTATTTTATTTCAGTCAACATCTATTTCAAATAATGAAAATGTTTTTTTTATGCTTTTAGACACCACACAAGCTGTTGTGTTTCTGGTTGGGTTTGCGATCTGTCTCTTTAAGAGGAAACGCCGGCTCGCTAGAAACTTCACCTAAATGTGAAAATCTGATAAGCTTGAGCCGTGAAAACCTCAGAGCTGATGCAAATATTGATGAAGAGAAGAGAGCCAAACCTGGTACGACCTGGTCTTCATGGCGATGAAAGCGTTGAAGGGGATCAGCAGAACCATGACGGCCACACCGGCCAGAACCGACGGACCCAGATTCTGAACACAACACAATAACAACATCAGCAGCCATCATTTTCAATTAGATTTCATTTTTTATTAGTTTATTTTCACATTCATTTTAGCTAAGGTTTTAGTCATTTTGTTGTGTTTTTGTCATTTTCATTAGTTTTAGTTTTTTAAATATTTCTCTGTATTTTTATTAAATTATTAATAAATTAAATTGTATTAAGAAATATGAATTTTTATGTTTTTATTTTTAAGATTAAGCTTAGTTAATGATAATTTAATTTTTATCATTATTTTATTTTCACCTTAATTTTAGCTAAAGTTTTAGTAATTTTGTCATTTTCATTAGTTTTAGTTTTTTAAACATTTCTCTGTATTTTTATTAATTTATTAATAAATTAAATTGTATTAAGAATTATGAATTTTTATGTTTTTGTTTTTAAGATTAAACTTAGTTAATGATAATTAAAAAAATGTTTCACCTTAATTGTAGCTAAAGTTTTAATAATTTTGTGTTTTTGTCATTTTCATTAGTTTTTTTATATATTTCTCTGTATTTTATTAAATTATTAATAAATTAAATTGTATTAAGAAGTATGAATTTTTATGTTTTTGTTTTTAAGATTAAGCTTAGTTAATGACAATTTTTTTTTTTTATTATTTTATTTTCACCTTAATTTTAGCTAAAGTGTTTTTTGGTTTTAGATTAGGTTTAGTTAACGATAATAACACTGACCAACAATATTATTAACATGACATTTGCTGAACGGGAAAATTGTCAATTTTTAACTAAATGTGTTGAATAGTTTCATGCGCTCGGCAATCAATAATTCACCTCAAAACACATGCTGATCGATCGGCACAAACCGTGCATGTTGCAAATGAACCCATATTTAATGTCAAATGTCTTTTTTGCACCTTGCAGAGTTTTGTTCAGGGTTTTGAATGCATGAAATAATGTTAAGTTACATATTATCTTTAATGTAAAAAAAAACTGCCTTGCTATTTATTTCTCTCATAACGATGCGTGATTATACGGCCAGAAGCATTTTAGATTTGCATTCAGTATCTCTTTCAGAACACATTTTCTAAGAGAAGCGTTGTGTATGAATATGATTATCCTCTGAACAATAGAAGCCAGGGGAAGCATGTAAATGTGTTGAAATGTGGGTTTCCGCACCTGCCAGAGGAAGAAGAGCGCCAGGACGATCTGCAGCGGAGCAGACCACAGCATGTTCAGGAAGGTGGTGAGATCCATGAAGCGCTGAGCATCCACCGACATCAGGTTCACCACCTCGCCCACCGTCGACGAGCGCTTGGCCTCGTTCGTGATCACCAGAGACTGCAGAGAGCCACGGAAGACTGTCACAAACTCCACTGCATGCATCAGTGATTCAGTTTAAAGTGGTTGAGAAAATAATAAATAATAGATCTGTAGTGGTCAAACATGTTCCCACAAACCAGCATGCACTGTCAAAATCTCTTTTCACGGTCACAATACAAAACAATTCATTTCTACTGCAATTTCAACTCGATTTTATGCATCGGTAATTCAGTTTAAAATGGCTGAAAAAGTAATAAATAATAATAATATCTCTGCTGTTGTCAAACATGTATCCATAAACACGTATATACTGTAAAAATCATTTCTATTTCTATTTTAATTAGATTTTATGCATCGGTAATTCAATTTAAAGTGGATAAAAAGTAATAAATAATATTGTTGTCAAACATGTTTCCACAAACTAGCATACACTGTAAAACTCTTTATTTTTATTATCATAATACAAAAACAAAAGCATCAGTAATTCAGTTTAAAGTGGTTAAAAATGTGGTAATCAATGATAATGAATAATATCTCTGTAGGTTGTAACTTTGGCACCAATTTTAAAGATTTTAATAAAAAAATAAATACAAATAAAAATAAGCAAATAAGTTTTACATTTCCGTGGGCTATTTTTTACAGTGTGATATTTGCATATGTTTCAGCACATTATATAGAAATGACAATCCCAGCGTAACCTCACTGTGCACTAAAACTAAACCAAAACTGGACGAAAAGCCTCTTCTTTGAAGTTTCTCATTGTGCAAGTGTGTAAATGTTAATGTGTGTGTGTGTGTGTGTGTGTGTGTGCGCGTGTGTGTGTGTGTGTGCGTGTGTTTCTGACTTCCTTTTTGCAGCTTAGTTTCCACAGAAGGTCTAAAATAATGGGGCAATAAAAACCTTTAAAAGTTTATACAAAAAAAGTATAGACAAAAGTTAGCACTTAGTGTTTTTTTAACACACTAGTCCTTCAGTTGATGCATTGAACTGTTGATGCATTTTTCTAATGCAATATCCTGTGATGAAGCAGATTAATGGCTGTTTCGGCCACAGACAAACACACCCGTGAGTTCAGCAGCACTGAAGTATTACGCTGATCTGGGTAAAAGTGCACAGATGTGTGTGAACGCCCTTCACACCTACCACACCTAACACAACTCCAATCCCTACTCTATTCTCTTCTATTACTCGTGTAGAGCAGAGGCAGAATCACTCAAAAGCTGGACTTTAGTTAAATCACTGTCCGTCTGTAAGATTCTCTAAACACAATGTCATGCTTGATCTAACATTAAAACACATCTTTAGAAGTTAATATATTGTTTCATTTATTGTGCATATTTTCATTATTTATTGCATTTTTAAAATACTTGTTAAGCTGAGAGGGCAAATAAATATAAAAAATGTTGCTTTCTAACTGTATTTTCACACAGAATAAGCAGTTTTTCAGCATGTGCATTTAATGAGAGTAGGGGCCGACCGATATGTGTTTTTCAGGGCCGATGCCGATACCGATTATTACAGATCAATTAACCGATATTTTGAACCGATATATATATGTCTGGTGTAAAAATGAAAATGAATGCCAAAGTTAAGAATAACAAAGGCTCTGACAAAAACTTTATTTTAAATTCTGTTAAATTATTTTATCAGCAAATCGGTTTTGAAAATGCCGATAACCATAAAAAAAAGCTTAATATCGGTGCCGATAATTGGTCGACACTCTAAATGAGAGGTCTTTCGCAATACTCACAACATCTTTCTCACAACACGTGTAAGAAGATTTAATGTTTATATTGTAAAAGACAAAGTATTGTAAAAGTTCTCTGACATACTGTATGAACTAAACTACATTTATAATAATAATAAACAGTCAAACCTGTAATACTAGAGCATGGAAAGGTCATTTCAGTTTCTAGTGCAATAAACTTAAAAAAAAAAGTGATTCCTCATTATTTAACCCCTTAACTTGCTTTAGAAAATATGGTTCAACCAAAAAATAAAATTAAATGTAGTCATCATTTACTCGCGTAGCACAGAATAAAAAAATAAATAAACAAAGGTAAATAAAAAAGGCTCAGATTTTTGACTTGTTTTCTTGCCATTCTGAGTTTATATCTGTCAATTAAATTTTTTTCCACCATTTAATAAAACTGTTATTCTACTTTTATCTCACAATTCTGATTTTTTTTCTTGCAATTCTGCGTTTATATATATTTCTGAAATGCAAGGGGAAAACTCTGAATTGTGAGATAAAAAGACACAATTAGCTTTATAATTTCTTTATTTTATTTCTTAGTTTTTGTTTTTGTTTTTTATCCTGTGGTGGAAAAAAGCTTCCATAGGTTCCAACCCTGTATGCAATATTTGCATGTACTATGCATTTCTTTCCTCTGCTTAACTCAAAAGACATTTTGAAAGAATTAAATACTATTTTAGTCGTTCCTAATATTTGAACTTTCCCTTTAACTATTTCACTATTTTCACTTTAATTTGAGGTAAAGCTTTAGTAATGTTGGTGCGCTTTTGTCATGTGATTTATTTTCAAAATATGTCTCTATAGTTTTTATTAATTTTTATTTATTAATTTATAATCTTCTCATTATTTACCCCATAACATGCTTTAAAAAATATGGTTCTCCCAAACCTGTGCGCATTATTTATACGCATTATGCATTTCTTTCTTCTGTGCAACACAAAAGAAGGTAGTTTGAAGAATGAGGAGCCCACTGTGGACAAAAAATATTCAAAATATCTTCTTTTATGGTCCAAAAAAGACAAAAAGAAAGGTTTGGAAGTAAATGACACCACAAAGATTGTTCTGTTCGGTCACCACTAACCAGCATAAACCAGTCTTGACAGAACATGGATTTGTGCTGGTCTGAGTGAGTCCTTATGTGCAGAGAGACTCTTGACCAGCCTGTACCTTCCTGTAAATGGCTCCGATGATTCCCGAGCGCAGCCTCATGCCCGTGACAAAGCAGTACTGAAAGTGCTGATGTAAGATGAGAGTCTGTAAGAGGGAAGCGCTGAACATCAGGAACGCCAGCGAGTAACCCCACCACGACGGTGCCTGCGGCTGCTTGGTGAAGTCAATCAACATCCTGACGATGAGAGCAGAATCACTTTAAAACCACACCTCTATGCATGAGTAAGATTTTTTCTGTTTCTGAAATACGTCTCTTCTGCTCAGCAAGGCTGCATTTCTTTGATCAAAAATACAGTAAAAATTGTGAAATATTATTGCAATGTAAAACAGCTGTTTTCTATGTGAATATCTGTTAAACTGTAATTTATTTCTGAGATCAAAGCTGTATTTTCAGCATCATTACTCCAGTCTTCAGTGTCACATGATGTCACATTCTAATATGCTGATTTGCTGCTCAAGAAACAAGATTATTATTATTATCAATATTCAAATTTTTGTCAAAACTGTGATACACTATTTAAAAGTTTTGGGTATGATTAAAAAAAAATAAAGAAAAAGAAGAATAAATTATTTTTTCCCATGTTACATTGATCAAAAGTGACAGTAAAGACATTTATAATGTAACAAAGGATTTCTATTTAAAATAAATGCTGTTCTTTTGAACTTTGTTCATCTGTGAATCCTGAAAAATAAAACGCATCACAGTTTCCACAGAAATATTGTGCAGCACAACTGTTTTCAACATTGATAATAATCAGAAATGTTTCTAATAATCAGCATATTAGAATGATTTCTGAAGATCATGTGACACTGAAGACTGGAGTAATGATGCTGAAAATACAGAAGCGCATCACAGAAATAAATTACAGTTTAACAGATATTCACATAGAAGACAGCTGTTTTCAATTATAATAATATTTCACAACTATATTTTCTGTCAAACAAATGCAGCCTTGTTGAGCAGAAGAGACTTCTTTCAAAAACATTAAACAATCTTAATTATTTCAAACTTTTGACTTGTGATTCAAAACGGTAAAAATGTCTATAGAGAAGCATATTTGCATTCTGTTTGCATTGTAAAGCATGAGCACAGAGAGTGAAAAGCATACAAAACATCATGCAAACGATTCTGCAGGGTTCTATGCAAAACAGTGCTATAAAAGATCATTTTTACACCGCTTTCCAGCTAATCAGCGCATTTCATGTTTGCGCTTCCTGTTATAAGCAAACGAAATAAATCCCCGCGGGTAATAAAACCCAGGTAAATGTTAAAGGAACAGAGCAGCTATTGTGTTGTTCGTTATCAGATGCAAACAATTACAGCTGTTCATACAGACTGACTAAATCAGTCCCTTTAATATTTTAATTATGGCTTTAATGAAAACAGAAGCTCATCACAGTCCTGTGAACATCTGCTGTAAATAACCAGTACAGAAGAGTGACTAAACCTCACTTACTGGCAGCTTTATCATGTCACGTATGATATCACTACCTTCCCATCATAAAACCATAACTAATTATGACTCTAGTGTTCCTCTTTGGCTGGGAATGAAGCAGCGGTGACTTCACCTGAGCAGCTGAGGGTTCACGAAGGTTATGAGATCCTGCAGTAGTTTGAAAGCCGAGCCGATGAGGAAGTAGGGCCCGAAGGCCCTGAGAAGGGCCCTCAGGAACGAGGGCTGCCGTGCCTCCTTCCGTTTGGACAGCAGAACCTCCTCCTCCTCCGGACTGACGCTCACGTGGTTGGGTTCAGCGCCCGGGCCTGCCTTCCTGAATGCGGCCTGCTCCTTCACGCTCTGCTCGCTGCACAGAAAAACAAGAGCGGCTGATCTTCTGAAGCTGGAACGACTCTTCTAGTAGCAGCAGCAATGTCAAGGTCAATTCCCAGTCAGTGCATGAAATGAATATATGTGCAGCTGAACGCAGTGAAAGCGTCTGTCAAATGCATGAATATAAATGCATTAGGTTTGGGGAAGAAGAAAAAAAACGCTTCTGAAAGCAAAGCTGAACCTGGACTCACATGTGTCATTCTGCAGCAAAAACAACTGCAAAGATAAACATTTTCTACATGGCTTGTGCTTGCTCATGCAAAATACCCTAGCAACCACCCATATCACCCTAGCAACTGCTTAGTAACAACTATACCTTTAAATATATTAATTATGAATGACTGTATTACAAGCTATCAATCATAAGAACAGAAGCTCATCACAGTCCTGTGAACATTTAAAAAATACACAACACAAAATTTCACTGAAAAATAAATAAATCAATACAAGATTTCATTGGGTTTATGGTAAAAACTGTATTAAATAAAGTTGTTTTTATGAATTCAATTAATTATGCATGCTGTTTGGTTAGTAAAATTGAATGAAACCATTCAAATGGAATCCCGAAAAATGAAAAAAGAAAACACAGAATTTGCTAAATAAAAAATAAAAAATTATAGTGGCCTAAAAATGCATTTTTTGTTAAACCTTTAATAAATAGATGTTAAATTATATGTTTCATTATTTAAATTAATTAGACATGCTTTTTGATGATTCAAATTTAGTTAAAGCTGCTAAATTAGTCCAGAAAAATTTAAATGTAAATAAATATATATATTTTATGAGATATATATATATATATTTATTTATTTGTTTTTTAATTAAAATGTCAAAAATAAAATTTAATTTAACCACTAAAACAAACAACTAATTTGGAAAAAAAAAAAATGGACGTCAGGAAAATATAAAACAGATTTCATAGGGCCCTATTCGACTACATAAATAAATAAATAAATAAATAAATAGAGAAAAACCTGGAGCATAGTGTTACTCACATTAATGTAAACAAGAAAAGGCATTCACAACCTACTGGACTTATACAATGTGACAGTTATTGTACAATCCTTGGACTGAATGATTGAATCATAATCTGTCTGAATTCATACCTCTGCGCTTTGGATTTCTCCACCTCCCATTCATTGAGCAGATTGGGAACCACCAGCTCTGAACTGTCATGCTTGTTCAGCGACCACAGATCTTTATTCTCTAGTGGAGATTTATAGCCTTTGATCGCCATACTGTAGAACAGAAACACATATCTGTCTCAGAAACAACACTAATGTTGGCATTGTACAGTCATTCTACTTTTGATTTTTGTTGTTTATGTTGAATTAAAGGGACGGTTCACTCAAAAATGATCATTGAGTTATCATTTACTCAGCCTCATGTCGTTCCAAACCTGTATGACTGTCTGTCCTCTACAGAACACAAATAAGCAGATATTTTGATCTCTAAATCTCTAAAAATATCTTCTTTTATGTCTCAGAGAAGGACGAAGGTGACAGAGGTTTGGAAAGATACTGTATGAGAGCAAGTCAATTTTTTGGTGAGCTATCCCTTTAAATCTTCCACTTTGGCTTGAGAAAATATGTGCATTAATTTAAACCCCAATATTCAATAAGACATCTAGTAACTGGGAACATTTGGGATACATTTGTTTCTGATGGCACAAAGCAATGTAAACGGAACATTGGTTTGAAATGTTTCTAAAAAGTATAAATGTTCTTGTTGTGATTACAACAATTTATTTAAAGGTTACAAAAATGTTTCTTACACCATTTAAGTACAAATAATACATCATAAGGACATTCTGAGAATGTTGATCTAAGAATGTTTTCTTTCAGCGTTATGAGAACATAAATCAAATGATTAGTGTTAGTGTAAGTCGTGAGGACGAGAAACAGCCACTGTTAGTAATTTACATTACTCACCTAGTAAACCACCAAAAGGTCATTTTGGAGAGGAATCCAGCAGTCGTTTCTGGACATACATTCTGAAAATCCAACGAAAACACCACAGGCACTTTAGTTTGCTGCTCTGACCTTTCCATGACCTTTCTAATGTTCAAAGAATTCAATCATCCACAGTTTGTGGCACTAAATCATTCTTTTATTCAATCTTGTATGAAAGCATGATGGTTACTGCTGGCCCTTGTATTGCATTTTGTCATTTTCACGGCCTTTGAGTAGATACACACACATACGCATATATACACACACACACACACACACACACACACGCAGACTTACAGGATCTGTGACCACGCTGGAGAAGAGAGGAGGCTTTTCATTGAAGCAGGACAGGATGAGTTGAAGCAGGATGAGACCGAAGTAAATGTAGAACATCGTGAACCTCAGCTTG